GGAATGGGCCGCGCTCCAACTGTGCGGGGCGCTTTGAAGCCATTCTAATAGAGACGCTCACGTGGGCAGGGGCGCCTTATAGCTTGTCATGCGAGGAACGGCTGCAGGTTCAACGGGTGTGCCTTCGCTTCTTCTTTGGTACTTCTCGGTGGTGAACTGTAGAGCTGTTTGTGGTACGTTGAGCTAAGGACGGCAGTGACTTGACTCGCTCAGTAGCTCGAGACCAATACATTGTCGACATATCGACTGCGGGCTGGAGCCGTTCACTCGCGCAATCGGCATTGAAGGGCTTCTATGAACTTTCTTCTTCTTCGACGCTACCGTTTTCCAAAATTTCAGCATCGAGCGGAGACTGACGAACCCATGTCTCGATGTCTGACAAATGGGGACATCCCCGTATTGTGATTGTGAATCATCACATCGGACTGTTGAGTTACACTCTACTTACCCAGCCTGCCGTCTTATGTTCCGTTTGGTTGATGTCCTTTTTCCTGCGCCCCACCTCGTTCTGCTTAAGCAACCAGAATTAGGCCGTATTTGCACACTGGAGCTTTAATTTGCTCGTGTACCGAAGAAGATCAGACTTCCATTCGTCAATCCTTTTGCGGACAAGATGTGCGGGAGAGCGCGAGAATCCCATTGGAGGAATCTCTCTAAGATCGATATAACAAGCTCCATTCATTTTCTCGTTCCACGCTTCTCAAGAGCACCGCAGTCATAGCTGGCGGTGATGAAGCTTGCCGTGACCCGAAGGTCAAAATCGCCGTGCCGACTCAAGCCGAGCCAGCAAAATTTGCCGTTAAATGAAAAGCAACGGCCACGCCCCTTACGACTGGCGTTTTTCAGAATGATAGATGGACCTGGCCCGGTTTCTTAGAAAGTACAAGCCTCTGATGGAAGGCGTCGAGCCGGTTCTTGAGTAACTTCTCCCGGTGATTGCTTCAGGAAAAGTAAATATGAGGTCACGGGGTGAGTGGCCAAGACGATTTTGTGAGGACTGGCCCGTCAGGAACGCCAACGTCTGTCCAGCGCGGCATCTTCAGAAGCCGCTATATTCCCGATGAGTTTCTTGTACGCTCAGGTTGGGGGTTTCCAAAGCTCGCGCAATCGTCACAAGAAGAAGGCTCTGCGTTTACACGCGTCTTTGGTTCTTTCTTGATTATAGTCTTTGTTGATGGATCACTCTTGACGTCCAACTTGATCTTGGATCAGCTCGTATGCGCGCGACGTGTTCAAAGCTGCCAGAGGGCCGTAGCCAGGCAGTGCCAACTGACGCTGTCGCATTTTCACCTCAGGCACATTTCCTTTGCAGGCCGCTGCTACTAAGAATTCGAAATAAGTAGACACTAAACCTACAGTCACTATAAATGATAGCCCGGTTTAAGATCGTTGTGAGGCCACTTCGATCTTAAACCTATTCAGGATTTCAGGCTATTTTGGTCTTAAACGTTGTGTCAGACCATTTTGATCTTAAAAGCTGAATTTCTGAGATCAAAACGGCCTCAGCAAACGATCTTAAACCGGGTATTGATTTATAGTGAGTTCCATAAATGCAGCGCTTGATAGCTTTGATTTCGGGACAACCATGCGAAGTTAGTGAGGAAGTTCTTGATCTTGAGCCAGTACATGTGTACGGAGCTCAACGATAAAGTGGTAAACAGGATCCGAGCCGTTCCATTCGCAAAAGCACATTAGTCCCTTCGCTCGTGAGATGGTCACGCTTGAAAAAGCACAAACCTTATCTAGCAAGTCGCTGTCTCTACGTCCGCCCTTTCGTTATGCTTCATTGAGGCAAGTACCATTGAACGCTCCGTTTTGGCGCAACACAGAATGGACCTCAGTCTTGTGGCTCCAAATAGTGTCCAGTGCATGGGCAGACTTGCTGGCCTCCTTTGCACTCAATGGGCACTGTCTCTGCTCTGATCAAACCGATCCGTATCGAAATGCGCGTCTTATGTACCTTTGCATCCCTATCAACGCGGCTGAAGTTGTTGACAGTTCTCGGATTCCAGCCGGTGCGTCTCAAAACTTGAGCGAACGATGAATACGTCGATTCACGTCGGTTCAATGATAATGTTGGGAAGGGCGTCATGATGGAGGTCACGTGACGTTTTCGGGAGCCGTTCTCGAGCGCTGGCGAAGAAGAACTTTGTCACGGTCTCAACGAAGCCGTTTCGAGTCGGCCCCGCTTTAATTTAAGAATCAATTGCTTCAGAAGGTCCGGCGAGAAAACCACTAGCGAGAAGATGCTCGCAAATCATTGCCCTTCGACTGATCCAAGACGCTCGCGGAAGCGCTGAGCGAGTCGACAGCCTGGATCGTCCGAGACGGCCGGGCAGTGCAATTATCAATCTTCCGAAAATGTTTCGTATCTGTGCACTTCCTCACGGGTGCCTTACTGCGCGCACTTATGATGGACTCCAAGCGCAGCGTGCGCTGAAGGCCAGGGCGCGGGCGGCCGCGCCGCGTATGCGCATCAGAAATCTAGGAACCCGGCGGCGCGCGCTTCCCGCGGCGCCTGTCGTGCGCGCTTATTTCGTCGACCTGGCGCCCACATGCGGCCTAGCTAGCTTGGCTCTATGGAAGGAGCGCCATGAGCATCGACAGAAGGAGAGAAAAAACCTGGATGGCGGCTGTGAGGACATCTGCTGTTGGCTGCCAAGGCCATGTGATTAAGCACGGCAAGCGTTACGATCGAGCTGCAGAGGGTAAACGAAGCCGAGACCAAGTTTTGCACATCATACAAGGCGGTTGCGTCACACGTCGTCGCACATACTCGAGCGTCAGTATGGCGCGGCACAATATGTGATGCAACAAACGACACAGTATGTTTTAATGCTTGCTCTGGTGTTCTGGATGAGTGAGTTTGTGAACCGAGGACGCGTGCGCAAGCCGCCGCGTGCGTGCACTATGACGGATGCCACTACAGATATGACTAGTAGGGAAAAAAGTAGCGTTCCAACTAATACCCAGTTCCTCAAGTCCTAATTCCTAATACCCATTTAACTAATTCCTAATACCCATTTAACTAATTCCTAATACCCATTTACTAATACCCAGTAAATGATCGTTCGAACTTCATATATGTATGTCTTGCATAATGTCAATAGTAGACATCTGTTGGCGCGATGCCAGTGCACTACTCTCGTTTAACCGCAAGCCGCCGCGTGCGCGTTCCGGACGAAGTGCAGACGCTGGCAGTGGTGAAGCGTCTTTGTGGTTGCACTGAAAGGCCACGCCCATCCAGGTGATTCAGAGCCATCAGCGCAGTAGTTGCTTTAAAGATACCGGCTACAGCTTGAGTAGGAAAGAGACTTCCATGCTTTTTAGTTGTCGGTTCTGCAATGGGGCGCTGACTTCGCTTTCTTGCTATGTCACTAAAGGCTTCGGATCCCTTCTCTTTTCAGATCTCAGCAACACGCCTGGATTAATATTGCTCAGAGCCAATCTAGCCAATGTCAATTAAGGGACCGCGGCGCATAATCTCGAGCTGTTTCTTAAGGAAGAATCACCGGCTAATCAATATCCTTGAAGTCGCTCCGAAGCCGCCTTTTTGGGTCTGTCGTAAACTGCAATCTTTTCGGACTTCATGATTAGAGAAGAAGCCAGAACACTATAAAAGTTGGAGATCATCTGAACTCAAGAAGTCCTTCAGGCAAGCGAAGACATCTCAAACGACCGCCCATTGCGCGCTGCACTGCAGGCGGACCGCAGAACTTCGCGATGGACGAAATCGCAGCGCTACCGTCCGATCTGAACATAAGGACTCCAGTCTGCAAAGTTTAGCTAGGGGGTCGCAAGCTTTGGCAGGACAGGTTCCGATACTCGGGTTTGGACAAACCGGGCCTAACTGAGGATAAACGAAAAATCTCGCGCGTTCATTTTTTGACGTCAAAATCTGGACGGCAGCGCTGCGATTCTTGGTCGTCCCCCAGCTATTCTGCGGTTCTGCGGTCCGCCTGACCGTACGATTGCACCTGGAAGCGGTTCAGTTGGGCGTCAAGTACGCCTCCCTTCTGTTTCAGAAGCGCTGGCAATGATGCCCTCAGGTTGCTAACTTTTGGTCTCGTGAAGGCCAGATATGTTGGAGCAGACGTGCACAATAGAGCGAGTTTGTAGACTCATAAGAGGCGCGCTTTAGTCCACATAAAAGGGGTGCATAGGTCAATTGAACGCAGAATCTATAGCACAGCAAACGGTCGCTGGTCGACGATCGGTGTCCATTCGCAGCCTTCTTTGTCGTATTTCTTCAGAGAAAAAGGCCATGTTCAAAGCTTGACCTCGTATTCTGAATCTGGATGGCGGCGGCTGTGTTAAAATTCTCGAATTGGCCCACCAATAGAACCAGGAGATGTTTGCACGAGAATGTGATTAGAAGCCGTCAATCAATTCCACCTCCTTGTTATTCTTCGCTGAGATCGATTCCGTCGCAGGTCACAATATCCCACGCCAAAGAAGCGCTTTCAAGGTTTCTCTGTAACGTCGTTGTCTCTGTTGCCTCTTTGCGCCCAGGACAGGCAAACCGTCGGCTATGGGTTAGGTTCAACAGGTGCGGTGCCTTGTTGATCAGACAACGTCAGCGTCACGCGCTTTTTGATTTGAGTCAAAAGCGCCCATCTCTCGCAGCATTCAAGAAATCAAACGGGGTCAGGATGGCGAGCCGCTTCTGGAGCGACCCGTTCGGTGCTTCCATTTCTGTGCTGGCTGTTCAAGTACACCGCGATCATCAACATTTATTCAGCTTCGACGGAGCGATTTCGCTTCGCGCAATCTACGTCCGCGGCACAATCGCGCCTTCAATGGGCGCCCAGAGGTTCCTCGAGCCACCCGCTGTTACCGTCGTCTCAGCTTTGAATGTTCTGCCATCCTGAGAAGATTTAGCAGGCGGCGGTGATGACATACATCTCTGCCTGAAGAGGCCACAAATGTAGTGAGTGGCGTCAATCGAAGCCAGTCAGACGAGGAGAATCGATTCTTTGAATGGGATTACATCTCCTAGTATGGCCCGGCCGTCTGTTCAAGATTTCGACGAGATTTCTGGGGCAGATTCTGGGCTTCAGGGGCGCGAGATGGCGCGAAGGATGGTGAACCCTGCCTCCCCTGAGCCCGAGAAGCATCAGAAGGGGCCTGGGCCATCTGCCGCTCCTCGGTCATGGACGGCGACAGTTGGTGAGCACCCGGACCTGTCAGAATTGTCAGACGACCACTGGAGTCGACACTCTGCCGAGCTCCAGCTGACAGACTGGTTCGCCTGCAATTGGAAGGTGGTTTTTGTGGTTTGCAACATCTGGAGGGGGTTTGATTCCGCGCCCCAAAAGCAGAGTATCAAGGAAGAGCGTCTTTGTGGTGCGTCAGGTCTACTTCTCATCACGGATATGTACCAGGAAACAACCTATCACTTCTTAAGAATGTTAATGGGTGTTTTTTGGTACACAGATCTTGTCAGGTAAGGCCGGGGCAGGGTGCATGCCCTTGACCCGTCTCACGAATTCGAGGGTACCTGGTGGGTCGATTGCGACGTTCCCAGCGCAGCACTCCTGACACATTGAGCGCCTTCTTTTCAGAGTCCGCGTACGCTGACCGCGGCGCCCACCACAGCCCCACAACCGGCCTCCGTGCGATCGCCAGCGCCCCCGGGTCGGATTGCGGTCCTGGCGCAGCCCGCCCTCCGCACGCCGCCAGTGACGATGCGCAGCCCGGGCAGCCTTTCGTCCCCCGTCGCGCAGAGGGCCTGTGCGCCCTTTCAAGCGGGAGCTCTCCCGCGAGGTTTGGAGTTCAGCCCGCTGCCAGGGTGAGCGTGCTGGCGAGGAGCGCATTCCAAGGTGAGCGACAAGCCGTCTCGCCAGCGACATACCCATGTATCTCATTTCGTGTTGGAATCTGGCAGTGCTGGGGAAGTAGCACGTCTTCTTTTGGGGAAAAGGCATCAGAAGCCGGGTCATATATTTGGAAGGTATGGCCGGGGCCCCTTGAACACTGTGTGAGGTCTTGCAGAGCGCGGGGATTTGTACCAAGAAACTGTGTAATACTTCCTAAATCAACTGGGCGTTTTCTGGTACGGCTTCAGGTTGCAGGGCATTGCCGGGGACCCTCCAACACGGTGCACATGAAGCTTTGCAGGTTGAGCGGATGTGTACCAGGAAAGTCTGTGTTACATCTTAAGAAACAACTGGGCGTTTGCTGGTACGCTTTTGGTACATCCTGCAGGGTATGGCCGGGCCCTTCGGAACGGTGTGAACCTTTGCCCGGTTGCGAGCGCAGACTTTGTCAGATTCCATAAGTTCGCAGGCCCGCTGAAACTTTGACAGGTTTCTCGACTCTAACCTGCCAACCTCCTGCTCGCGCAGGATTTCCAGCCCACGAGTGCGGGTCGGACAAGGTCTTCTACTCTTCGGCACCAAAGAGCAGGGCGCTGATAGGTAGGGTGGCAAATCTCCTAGCACTGTCGTTGGCTTCGATTGGTTTTGCAGATAGGGCAGCAAATGCTTGGATGCAACTTGAAGGCTTGTCATTTCGGGCATGATCAAACTCTGATCAGGCGAGTCTGTCTTGAAGGGCATGCCATTCTGAGCACGATTGATTGAGGGATTCGTTTGGTGCGACGCAGCGACACAACTGATGATCGGGGGCGTGGAGAGCAACCCGGGGTGGCCCACACACGATTCCGGCACCCCGAGCAGCTCACGCGGGCGGCCCCTGATTCAGCTTCCGACCTTGGAGGTGAGTTATTCGCCAGGCCAAGTTACCTTCCGCCTCATGCCTCCATCCCAGGTTGCCACGAAGTACCGCCAGGCTACGTGTGCCATTTGTCAGAATCACCATGCCCCTTCTCACCGGCATCTGCTGAGCGTCCACGTAGTGATTGGGTGATTCACGAATGACGACTAATCAAGCACTCCGTGTCATGCAGGAGGTTCAGGAGAGTGCCCGGCCAAAACCTCCTGACACTGAGCACTTCTTTCAAGAGTGGAAGAAGGTAATTGCTCGTGGGTATGGCCTTTCCTTGAAGCAATGTTATTTCGCATGCACGATCCCTCAAGCCTGTGCAATTTGTGATTGATTTGGCACTCGCGTGCACTGCACAACTTGCACCTTTCTATGAGTTGCGAGTTGATCCTCTTTTTCTCATGCACAGAACCGCGATTCTAGGGGAGAGGAATCAACCCGCTCGCCAGCCCAACCCCAAGAGCTGGAGCAGGCGCTTGTGTTAGGCGGCAGCGGCGAGCGGGACAGCGAGCAGGTCAGTGTCGAGTGCCATGAGCAGCTTTCGAGTTAATACGAGGGCCTCAAGAGTTCATATTGCGAGCGTCCCTCCCGCACATGTTCCAAGTGCTGGCCCTTTTCGTTCTTAAGATTTGATGTCTTGCAGTGGGTACAGCCAACTAGGTTTAAGCAGCATTTGCGGGCCATGCTCGTCTGGTACAGGGTACCCATCGGCCGGCAGTTCTTCAAAGATTCAAACGCCGGGCAGTGGGTACGTTCGATTACTTGTAAGCAACGTTGTACCCAGTGTCAGAGAGTTCTTTCTTAGAGACAAATGCCTGGCCGTGGGTACGCTCCATCTTGCCTGGGTTGGCCGTCCCCCCACTCGCGCAGCGTATCCTAGTCCTAGCAAGTTGATTCTTAGACACGAATGCCTGGCAGTGGGTGCGCTCGATCAACTTTAAGCGAACGTTGCAGAATATGGTTGTGTACCCAGTGTCAGGCGATTCTTTCATAAAGACAAATGCCCGGCAGTGGGTACGCTCCATCTTGCCTGGTATGGCCGTCGTCCCACTCACGCAGCGTACCCAGTGTCAGGCGATTCTTTCTTGAAGACAAATGCCCGGCAGTGGGTACGCTCCATCTTGCCTGGTATGGCCGTCGCCCCACTCACGCAGCGTACCCAGTGTCAGGCGATTCTTTGTTTGACGTTGATGGTCAAGGGCCAGACGGAGTCTTGTCTTCAAGCTGAAAGAGCACGTCGAATGTAGGAAACGCGCGGAGGTCAATGTCGAAGAAGAAGATGAGAAGAACGGTGTACATCAGCTCGCGGGCAGAATCCTTTCCTATTGGACTCGAGTATCAAATTGAGTCTCAGTGCTAAAGAGCGCGGGGTTCTCTGCGTAGTCTGCCAATTCTAGAAGTGAAGCTGGCGCCATCTGAGACGAACTGCGCATTTGCTTTGATTGGAGATTTAACTTGCATCATCATATTTGACCATGCTTCCCATCGCTGATCAAGTCTATTGTCTTCGTCCAGCCCGTACGTCCCCTGCATATATAATGTGGACCGGGAGCCCTCTAGCTGGCAGCATCTGGTATGTATATGGCAAAGCTGCTACAGGAATTGTACATAGTACGCGTGACATGTTGCATCCGAGTCTGTGCCAGTTTATGCCCATGATGGCGAGCTAGAGTCCTCTTTCTTATGAAGAAGCACGCATTGCATTCCGATGCATTACAACAATGATGAGCGCATGCACGCGCAAATCATACTATAGATCAATCAATCTTATCGTACTCCCTTCATGCATGCGCAGCCAACGTCAGTCGAGTTTCGGATAGTTCCGTGCGCATAGCTGCAGTGCATATATACCATGCATGCTTGCATGCGTGCATTCGTCGGGCCAGTTCGATATCGACTCTAGAGAAAAGTTTGGTTTGTAATTGCTTGGATCCAATTACGTATTCCTGTAATTTTCCTTGGTCACGCAATGGACTCAGTATAGTACAATGCACTTTCATGCATGAGCCTGCAACCTGCACCTCGATTGGATCTCTATTGCATTTGAATATATGCCATGATGTCCTGTCGTCTCTGATTGACCGGCCCGGGCCCTTTCATGCATCCGCAAGAGATCACCCGACTACATACATACGCAAACCGACAACCTTGACTGGAGCACGATATACCTGGCCCACGACTCATGCAACAAGTATATTGTATCATCTGGATTATGGCATCAAGCAACATGCGCCAACATGCACCACCCATGACACAAAAAGCATTTTTCTGTGGACGTCCAAGTATCTCAACATAACATGCAAGACAAATATTACAGCAGTTTTACAAAGTCCTTGGGGTCCAGAATCGTCAAGTTCAAACGAGCGTGGAGCTGCTTGGCGTGTTTATTCAGCGCCCTTACTAGCCGCTTGTCGGCAGTGATGAACATCTTCTGCCCGCTTGTCGGCAGTTTCAGGCCACAAACCGCTGCCACCACCCTGTAGTCAGACCTACATGCCCCATCTAGGAGTCTAAGGGCCTCTTCTTCGTACTCCGGCTGGTACTCATACGTGTAGATCGGCTGCGGGTCGCCCTTTGAATCATCCCCCCAAAACTTCCCGTAAACCTTTGCAGCCTTTTCTGGCCCCGCTAAGCGACCGATGTTCTTCACCGCTTCTACGAGCGCCGGGTACACCGTTACCACTTCAAACTGCCCTGTCTTGTGCCCTTCAAATACCTTTTTGTACGCCCCACTTAATGCATGAGACACCATGATGTTTGCATCGACTATTACTGTGACATCACCTCCCAGCGCTACATTAAGTTTCGTCGTTTCCACTCCTCTACCTGCGCCCGCGCCTGCGCTTGCTCCTCTTCCGCGAGTCCTTCTTCGATCATTACCGCCCAAAGCTCCTCGGATATTGGCTCGATTGCCTGGCTGAGAATGCTCTGCAGTCGCAAACAGACAAAGCGCTTATATGACCAGACCGCTTTGCTGGTCCAACAGTGGGTTACAGGGCGATAAAGTGCTGACCTTGAGGCGCAAATTGCAAAGCCAATTGCCCTTACCAAAACGGGGATGTGAAACAACCTTCCTGAGCACTGGCAACCCAGGCTGTGGAACAAAAAGTCCAACAACAGTTTCCTGTACAAACTGCGCAAGCTTGCTCGCAGCAGTTGCCGAGACAGTCTCAGCTTCTTCTCTGCATAGAACTCCAGGAAGAATCCCCAGAGCAACTTTGCATTTCCCTCAACCCAATCTTTCCAAAAACCCAATCTTGATTAGACATTAGACCAGCAATTCTATGGTTTTTCCCCTGAGCGAGTCCCAATCAACTCCCTTAGGACAGACGACCAGCAGTAAAATCAACTTTGCACGATGCTTTCATCAGGGTTCTGTCAACCAGAAAGTGTTGCAAGAAGAGCAACCAAGCTAGCTCAGTACGGTAGAGAGTTGCTCAAGTTCCTGCAACCTCTTCTCCCCCTCAAGGAAGACACAATCAACCCTTCGGCAAGCAGAGGGTTCCAAGCGGTGACTATCGGCTGCGGAAGGATGTGCACTTTGGAAGTGAAGTCAACAGCAACACCCCTTGGCGAGCGCCATAAAGTCCAAGAACAAGCGTCTTCTTAGAGAGTCATACGGCACTTGAAGAGCAAAAGCAGTAGTTTGTCCGCAACAACAGAAGAGCAGCAGTCCAGATTGGCATGCAAACGCCGTAGACCAAACAAAAAGTTGGAGACATCTCAGCTTTACCTCCAGATCTTCTCTGCTCCGCACAACGGGTTTGCTCACGGGCGCAGCCTTCAGCTTTGCCGCCATAGACAGTATTGGGTCGCGTTTTTGCTCAGCAGCGGTTAAGTCTTGGGGTGCTGAGGAAGCATTGTGATTCCGCTGCACATATAGCACAAGAGAAGTGAAACCATGTCCCAGGAGCAACTCAGACCACTGCTCAGCAAACCTTCGTGTCAGGAGCTATCCTAAGGAGAAATACAAGATCTGCGGCTTGTCAATAATCTGGCATCCAAAGAACATGTCTGGAGACCGATATCAACACTCCATAAATGGTCTGCTAATGGAAATAAGCGAGCTGATTCTGGCTGACCTGGATGGCTGGTTTTGAAGATCGCTCCTGCTGGTGGACGCAGCGAGTACGCAGCAGCGAGCATGTTCTTTCCTGCAGAATTGAGGAAGTCGTTGAGACATGATGATCAATTGCCTCAGAAAAGGCACACCCCTGAAGTTCAAAACTTTTCAACGCCCTGTTGGCACTTTCCCCACCTGCCTTGGCACCCTAAGTGTCTGAAGACAGACATCCTCATGTAGCAGAAAGAAAGGAATAACCGCTTCGACCTCAGCATCACTGACGATTGCAGAGAATTCTAGCAGAGCTTCCCTCTGCCAGCTTCTTGCTCGGGCAGCACGCCCCTAATGCTTAGCCGACCACAAGTATCAGAGAAGCTTCTCTGATACTGCGCATAGCACGGACGGCTGGCTTTGAATAAAAGGACATCCCCATTTGCTCACCTTAGAGTTGCTCCTGCTTGAAACAGCCCTCAGCCCGCTTCCCGCCAAAATTGCTGGCGCTGGGCAAAAAGGCGTGGACAAGGACATTGTGATCTGAGTTTTGATGATTGGAAAGAGCAACGAGGAGCAAATGTCAGACCCTGCCCTGTTGAATTCACTAATCAAGCTCACCATTCGCTTTGCTTCAAATTCGATGACACGAGCCGCCAAGGAACCACCTCTTGCGTGACAGCATGACGCAGCTCGTATCCTTGGACCTTGCTTTGCAAATTGCGACAGCATAGCACTGTTAGCAGACAGGCGGTAAGGTCGTCTGCGTTGAAGTCGCCGCTGCCCCCAGTTGCCAGTTGGCGCGACCTTCCACAACTCCAA